CCCTCCCCCAAACCCAATACAAAGAAAAAAAAAGTAAGAAAAAAAAAAGAAGTTAAGAATTACCAGTATTAGTAGGAACAGATCTCCAATTGCCAGGACCATGTTCTTGAATATAAGAAACCAAAATGATGTCCTCTTCAGGAGTCCAGGGACCTTTCTTCACACCAACTTTATCACAGCAAGGAGGCCTTCCCATTTCTACCTTGTTGTTAACTAAACCCCTCTCTCTCAAGCTGCTATTTCTAGAAACAAAATCTTTGTAAAACAAAAACTATACCTTTTAACTGATTATAGAATCTTAATTTATTGACTTTTTTTTTTTTGGTCTTTGTTTTTTCTAGCTATGTACTCCACCCACTGATCTCTATGTATGGGATTTCTGTTTTTTCTTCTTCTTCTCCTGTTTGCGAAGAAAAGGTTGGACTATCATAGCAGGGATGGGGGGGGCGACTTGTCTAGGCATTCACATATATAGGGAGAGAGAAAGGGGTCGTCTTTAATTAGTACGTACATAGAGGCTGGCCAAAGATTAAGATATGTGAAAATGGCTTTTTTTTTTTCATTTATATATTATGACATGATAAATACAATACATTTGACATAAGAGTATTTATGAGTGCAATTTTTGCTGTAAAAATAGTTTTCTTTGGAAGGAATACTGTGAAATTTGCACTGAATAGGACTAAAACATAAGTCATTTTCCAATGTAGGACTTATTAAACTTTTTAATTCCTTAAATAAGACTTAATAATGACTAGTGAGAAGAATAATGTCCAAGTGATGTTGGACATTTAGTTGAATAATGACTAATAGATAATGACCAATAGTCCTACATTGGGAAATAAAAACATATGGTCTTATTTTGAGAAAGTCATTATGTTTTAGTCCTATTTAGGTAAATTATCCCACCGTAAAAATGTTCAATGTTTAACTTGGCATTAAGATTTTAAAAAATCATATACTCCGTAGGTTAAAGTGGTGCAAAAGAAAAAATAAATAATACTCCCTGACCTCCGTTTCTTAAAATTGTTCAATTCCTGTTTTGACTTAGAAAGGATTTATTTTTATTGTTTGACCTTTTAATTATATCTTTATCATCGAACAAATCAGAGAGACAAATCATTTAATTGACTTATTATACCAAAGGTAATGCTAGCGTCACAAACATAATATTCACAAAATATACAAATTTACCCAAAATATAAAGTAATGGTTTCAAATAATGGTCTCAAATATTTAAAACATAAAAACACAAATGGTAAGTTTGTGCATTTTATGAGTGTTTTGTTTGTAATTCTAGCATTGCTCTCATACCAATACAAATTTAATAGAGTACATTGCAACGACTTAATTTCAATATTTTAGTTATTATTTACAAAAATAAAAGTTATTGAGGGAAAATGGAAAAAAAGAAAGAGAGACCGTTTTAAGAAACGAAAGCGGCATAAGCTAGGGTACCTAAACTTTTTAAAAGTAAATAATACTTTCTGTGTCCGAAAAAGGACTTCTTAATTGAGTTTGACATAAAGTTTAAGAAAAACAGATATGCTTAGAAATGATACAAGGGAAGGAAAGATATTGGGCCATATAAAATTTTTCAAAAATCAAAATAGACCTCTTTTTTGAGAAGTTTCAAAAATGAAATAAGGAATCATTTTTTTAGGAAATATTGGGTATTTATTATTTTTTTTACTGCGAGGGAGTGAGTATTACTGTATTTGAAAGGAGAAAATATTCAACTCGTATCAAATGAATTACCAAGGGCTTGTTATGCCACCATGAGTTACGATTTACGAACTAATTACGATATCATTGCAAGCATTTTGAAGAGGGGTCATGCGTATTATTTTAAAATTTTGCGGATTTTATTAATAAATGTAGATAGTAAGGTATGGTACAATGAAGTTTTGCAAATTAAATTATTAATGGCCGAATACAATTCCTTATATTTATAAATATAAGTAATTGTATGTGCACCTCACACCTTGAGAATGAAAATTATACTCTCTCCGTTCCTAAAATATTGTCACAATTTGACTTTTATGGTTAAACTGTGACATTCTTTGATCATGAATTACGTAAAAAATATATTAAGTTATAATGTAAATTTAGTAATATTGAATTTATTTTAAAATTGGAAATTTAACTAAATAGTACTAAAACATAGTGACTTTTCTATTGTAGTATCATATGTTTTTATTTCCCTATGTAGTACCAGTGGTCATTGTCTACTGGTTATTGTGCAAGTAAATGTACAAAATGCCCACCACTACTGGACATTGTTCTCGCTACTAGACATTATTCAAGTACTATACTATTTAGGGAATAAAAAAATTTAATAACAACATTGGGAAATGACATATGTTTTAGTACTATTTAGTGCAAATTTCACTAAAAAAATAGAGTTTTGAAATTTCAAACTTTTATAATATTTAATTATATTTAATTTATGATCAAATGGTACCACAGTTTGATAAAAAAAAGTCAAATTCTGACCATCTTTCAAAGACCAGAGTATTGCACATCTTAGCTTACTATGTCAACTATATAGTGCTAGATAAAAACCCGGCAAGAAAAATGTCAAATAATGATAATAAGAACACGCGGGGTAAAATATTATCCGTAGAACTGGCTCTGTACCTCCGAGTTGAAAGTGCCTATAATAATAACGTTCATCTTAAAAGCCTATCTAGAGCAATGTGGAATAAGTCCTTTCCACAACTTGGAACTCAATCTATTTGTTATTGAGCCTAGCTCTGAACAAGTCAAGAGAGAGGGCAAAGTGGGGCCTGAGCGGGACTGTGCTTTTTACAAAGGTTGCCTTGTATAGGTAACCCGGCGGGACAACTCGATCCATCACGCGAGGCTGCCATGTCGCGCCCCTCGTCATCCTAGGTGACAAGCCCAAGGGTCGACGACCTTTATGACTAAGGCTCGGGGCGAGCACAAATCCTTCCTAACAAGTCTATTTATCTTTCTTAGGCTCCTAGCCTACACGCCTTTCGAGCTCAAGTGCAAGGATTGACACAATGTACAAATGCACACTCTACAAAAAATGTACAATGTGATGTCATTGACACACATCACAAATGTTTGGACGTACAGTCGTACACAAAGCCTCGGGAAGTACGTGGAGATGCCTTGACATCCGCTATAGTATCTCATCACAAGACGACGCGACATACACTACACTGCAAGTAATGTCCAATCGAAGAGACTACGTTCTACCGATACTTATGTGGCAAAAAAACTCACTGGTACGAACATTTTTGAATTCTTAAAAAGGAAAGAGTATGGTGAAGTATTTTTACTTTCAAAAATCAAAAAAGAATTTTTTACTTGAACACAAACTATGCAAAAGTGTTTAACTATGAGTAAAACATTTTATAAGAAGACGGGAGTACTACAAAATTTCAAAACTGAAGGAAAAATTTCAGGCGTACCTCCACGAGATGGTAGTGGAGGATGAACTGCGAACGGTTGACTGGAGAAATTGAGAGCTCGATATGATGGGAGATTCCTCCTACACAAGAAATGAAACAAAAACAGTCCAATAAATAAGTCTAATGGTGTCTATTCTTATAGCCAATTAGTTTTAGAATGAAACTCCCGTGGGCTTCTGTTTTGGACCTATGACGCAAACGCGACAAATGAGCATGTGTCTTCTACACTATACTAGTGTTAACCCCGTGCTTCGCACGGGCTCGTATATATTCTAAATTTTTGTCATTCTATAAATATAATTTTGTTTATTTTAGTTTTTTAATAGTGACATAATATGCGTTAGTGATATATCTTTTTTCAAATAATATAATTTAAATATAGATGTACATACACTAAAAATTCTATAAGTATTTTCTTTAAAAGTAATAAAAGAGAAATAATTTATTGTTTTTAAAAATCATATAAAACTTTAGTTTTCAAAACATCGATAAAGTTAAAAAAATATTTTATACATATAATTTAATTATGTGAATAGAATATGTTTTAAACTGGTGGAATATATATTGGTATGTTTATTTAAAAACAAAAATTTTATACAAAATTAATGGCCATTGTTGAATGAAGTACTAATAAAAATGGTTTTAATTAATAAAACATTATAATAAAAAATCGACTAATTAATGTATGTATGTGTGTGTGTGTGTGTGTGTGTATATATATACATATACATACATACATATACATATATATGTATGTATATATATATGTGTGTGTGTGTGTGTGTGTATTACAATGATGATATATATGTTTACAAAATTGTTAAAAAAATCACATTTTTATACAAAGTATAATTAAAGTAATGTTTTTTAATACTAAAATATAATATTTATTGAATGCAATACTATACAATAAAATGAGTTAAAAGATATTTTTAAATAATTAAATGGACCAATAAAATTCATCCATCTCATCAAGGAATGCACATGTGGATGATTATGTGGCATGCCACATGTCAACACTCCAAGAATTGAACCTAACTTTATATATATATATATATATATATATATATATATATATATATATATATATATATATATATATATATATATATATATATATATATATATATATATATATATATATATATATATATATATATAGGATACTTGACCTATTGGACTTTTACCACAATAAAATTTAAAATTAGGAAATTAAAAATATACATCCTCCGTCCCTAAATAAATTTCTCCTTTCGTTTTTTTTTTGTCCCCAAGTAAACTTCTCCTTTCGTTTTTTCTTTGTCCCCAAATAAATTTCTCTTTTCCCTTAAAAAATCCTTTTTACCCCTTACTTTTTCATACCTTACCTATCACATCATAACATTTTACTAATAATCAACATATCAAATCTTACTTTTACACATCACATTAAGGGTATTTTTGGAAAGTTAACACAAAAATATTCCTCTCATAAATCATCAAAAAGTCAAAAAGGGAAGTTTATTTAGAGACTGATGAAGTATTAAGCCTCAAATCATCATCATTCAAGTGAGAATGATGTAATATTTTATCCGCTGCTACACATTGTGCACTAGTTCTAGTGCATTTACGATTGTTAGAAAAGTTTGATTTATTTACGAAAATAGTATTACGATTTCTTTTCAATTTCTTGATTTTTAATAGCTCTATGCTCTTAAATCTAATATATCGTATATTTCTCATTTCTTTTACTGTGCACTACATATACACAAAGTGTTTAATGTTGCATGGAGAATGATTGACACAATTTCTCATTAACAAGCTAATACCCATATATATATATATATATATATATATATATATATATATATATATATATATATATATATATATAGGGTGAATTTGGTTTATAAAGAAAACACAATGAGCTAATAATATACTCCCTTTGTCTCAGATCTTTCCTCGTAGTGTACTATGCTAATTTTACGAGAATTTTTATTTATTTGTGTTTTTTCATGGCAGATAAAATAAAATATAAAAAAAATTCACCACTTATTTTTTAAACTT